CTTGACCAGCAAGTCAAGAAACAACCAAAAAAACCAACTTCGAAGAGCGATCTACTCCAAGTTTTGAAGCAAGAGTCCCACAATCTAAAATTGACGAGATGATTCTCACGATGCCCCAAAGGATCAATGAACTCCACGAAGGGAAAGGAAGATCTAATAGATATTAATTAAATTATAAATATATCAATTCATGTGAATATCACTGAAAAATGTTCCAAAAGACTGCTAGTAAGTTCTCCTCACAGTATTTTGCTTCATGATTATGCCTGTACCAGACTGTACTTACTCATGGACTATCATGAGTAAAGTATAAGGGGATAGCTGGCCATCTCTGCCATTCTTTTGCTTTTCAAGATAGGGTTTCCATGGTCACCCATTGCACAGTCTCCAGTGTCAGTATTCCTTCAGACTCCCCAGCACGATTTTCCCCTTCTTCGAGTGGAGTACAAGAGACCTTACCAGTTCCTAGCCACTGGGACCATGGAGGCTTCCTCCTGAATGTGTTCAATACTATTCAGTATAGAATAGGGTGATGGTGTTCTGCCAGTGTAGATGGTGTAAATCCTCCCATGGAATCAGAAACTGGAGTGGATCACTATAATGCAGTTCATCCCTCCAGTTAGGTCCCCCCCTCATCGTATCATCGCTTGGATGTCAGTTCCTAGAGAATAGGTTTTGGATTAGAGCTGCACCAGCCAATATAAGTTCTCCAACATGGCCTACCATGGACATGGACACAATGTACTAATTGGTTGGGGTACCTCTGGCATGCATTCTCCATTAAGATGAGGCTTGGAAGTTTGGTATTGCATGTAGCTGGGCTGACTGACAGGTACTCTGGTTGGTTGGGGTACCCTGGTATATCACTTGCAAGATGCAATTCATATGTTCTGGTAGTGCAAGGAGCTGAACCTTGAATCAGAAGTCCTGTTAGTTTTGGATTTGAGTGAACCACCACATGGGGACTTCCCTTCCTACTGTTAGTTGGATGTCAATTTCCCAAGTGGCTGGTGTTGCTTGTGGAATTTGTACACGTGCCTTCTCTAGTCAGACAGAATGGTGAAAATGAGAGGGACCATCCTCATACTGTGGAACAGATGGTACATGGTTTTGGACTGGAGCTGACCAGCAAGTATGGTCTGATGTGCCCTAGCCATTCTACACTGTAGGGAATATCTGTGTAGTTTTCCCACCAATACTATATTTGGTTTGTAACCCTCCATCCTGCCATCTCCTGGATATCAATTCCCAGGTGTTTGTGTTGGATGATGAGCTGGACCAATCAAAATCTGTACATTACTGGATGTGTTCCAACTTATTTCTGCCCAATACTACCTCATTAGACAGAGAGTATACCTCGTACAGATGTGATATGGTCCTCTCTCAACAGAAGTTATACTCCATAAACGGTCTTCGAACACTTTCCAAATAGCGCTTAGTTAGGTAAAATTTGCACTGGTCCCTTCTCCTTTTCAATGTTGGATTCTAGCTACTTGTGAGAAAAGTTAAGATGCCGTTTCAGAAGCTAATATTTTCCTACACTGAAAATATATTTCTAATAGACACTTCCCACCCTTCCTCCCCACTTCTGGTGCTTCTTTTGTGCCTAATCTTGAAATGAGGGTTAGGATGAATAGTATAGAGGGAGTAACCTGCATAAAGAGTGTGTTTCATGCTCCTATTGGTGGAATGACACAGTAGAACCATATTGAATGTTGAGTAGGTGGGAGTTTCAAGACTTGTGGTGAACCAACAAATTTGCTTATAGAGGGTAGCACTGAATGAGAGAAGCTATTTGTAAGAAGAGGTAGGTACCAATTACAAATACATTTTCAGTCTAGGAAAATATTCACTTTAGAAAAATTATATATAAATAATAAAAATCATAGTTATTTAGGGTCACTGTTAAAATTGCACAAAAATTAGAAATCAAGGTTGAAATAAGTGTAAGTTATTATAACACAATATTGAGTTACATTGAATAGTTAAAGAACACTTGAGTGAACTTTCAACGTGAGCCAACTAAAAGTTGCGTGTACAATAAGTTAATGTTTACGAATTATGCAAAAACAGATCTTCAAATATTGATTAAGAATTGATTGATTAAGCATAATTAAAAACTTTATTTTTCTAATAAAAATTTCTTATGTAGAAGGAGATTTTTTAAATGAAACAGTTCTTGCTTAAAATGAAACCTCCCTTTCAAGGAACAAATAATTTCACTTTTTTGTGTCTAATAAACTTTTCTTATCTATCCAATGAAATTTTATGTAATTAAAATGAAACAATACTTACATTGCAAGAAACCTCGTTCATATAGAATGTAAGGATCATTTTTCTAAATTAATCGTGCTTATTTAGATTAATATATTTTACAAATGAAACTTCTTATCTACAATGTAACCATATTTTTAGACACAATGATTTTCTATAGTGTATCGATGCTTTTATTGAATGTAACCATGTTCTTAAAAGCTGTAATCATGCTTGTCTACAGTGCATCTTATTTATTACTTCTGGGTTGTTATTAGATATTATGAAGTATTTTATTGGCTACTTTATCTTATTATTAGATTTTATTAAATATCGTATTAACTTTTTCTTTGGTGATTATTATTAGATATTATGAAGTATCTTATTAATTTCTATTATTATTAGATATGTATCTTATTAATTTCTATTATTATTAGATATGTATCTTATTAATTTCTATTATTATTAGATATGTATCTTATTAATTTCTATTATTATTAGATATGTATCTTATTAATTTCTATTATTATTAGATATGTATCTTATTAATTTCTATTATTATTAGATATGAAACATCTTATTAATTTCTATTATTATTAGATATTATGAAATATCTTATTAATTTCTATTATTAGATATTATGAAATATGTTATTAATTTCTATTATTATAAGATATGAAATATCTTATTAATTTCTATTATTAGATATTAAAGTATCTTATTAACTTAATCTATGTTATTATTAGATATTTAAAGTATCTTATTAACTTAATCTTTGTTATTATTAGATATTTAAAGTATCTTATTAACTTAATATATGTTATTATCAGATATTATGATAATGCTGTCTGTTCTGTGGACAGGAGCACATCAGTAGCACCGATTCCAAGTCTGAAGACTTCACCTCTGGATATAAAAGTAACTCATCATCTGAATTAGAAAATCACATGACTCTCATTGATTTTACAACAGAGGAATCTGCTTCCACAACTGTTAGAAAACTGGTAAGTCCTTAATATACCATACATCAGACAAGAAAACTGAAATAAAAAATGTCTTTAAAAGAACTTGAAGAAACTAACTCAAGTATGTGTAACATCTTGTGTAGTAAGTCAGTGTATATATTGAAGAGTAGATAGGGAGTAACATCTGTGTTTTGAGTTTCCAGATGTTGGCTAAAATGGTCAGTTTTGCTGTTTTCCCTTACATTGAATTGAAGGAAATGTGTGTTGCTTCCAAGTTGTATAACTATCCAAAACATTTACAAGAATATTTTGATGTATAAAAAAACATATTAAAATAACAGAGTTATTATAAAACAAGGACATCTTGTTCATTATTCAGTACAGTATCACATATAACAGTATGTACATAAAATATAAAATAATAGTTATTATAAAACAAGGACATTATTCAGTACAGTATCACATGGAACAGTATTTACATAAAATATAAAATAACAGTTATTATAAAACAAGGACATTTTGTCCATTATTCAGTACAGTATCACATATAACAGTATGTACATAAAATATAAAATAATAGTTATTATAAAACAAGGACATTATTCAGTACAGTATCACATGGATATTTTATGTACATACTGTTCCATGTGATACTGTACTGAATAATGTCCTTGTTTTATAATAACTGTTATTTTGTCCATTATTCAGTACAGTGTCACATGGAACAGTATGTACATAAAATATAAAATAACAGTTATTATAAAACAAGGACGTCTTGTCCATTATTCAGTACGGTATCACATGGAACAGTATGTACATAGAATATAAAATAACAGTTATTATAAAACAAGGACATTATTCAGTACAGTATCACATGGAACAGTATGTACATAAAATATAACATAACAGTTATTATAAAACAAGGACATTTTTGTCCATTATTCAATACAGTACCAAACATCCAAGTATCAGGTATGTATATAAAGTTCAAAATAACACAAAGTTATTATAAAACAAGGACTTGTTATATTTTAATGATATTTGGTCACGATGAGAAAGTTATGAGAATATAAAGTTGTATTTAGTAAACTGATCACCAAACTTGAAAAAAAATTAAATTCTTTCTACTATGTATAAAAAACACAACAAATTCTGATTATTGAGTTACTGGATTTTTGCATATTTTAAATGTATAAATGTAGAAATAATTATAATAAAAACTTAGTGCAAATATTGTTTATTTAATAAGTATTCCATGTTTGTGATATTTTCTCAGAAATTATACATTCAGTTGTTGGAATGAATATTTTATACATTTAATTACTGTTGATACTCATCATCCCTAGTTGGAGTTACCAGTATATTATATCCTTAATTACTGTGTTGATACTAATCATCCCTAGTTTATGGTGGTAAAAATATATTATACCCTTAATTACTGTATTGATACTTATCATAACTAGTTTATGATAACAATATATTATACGTTTAACTACTGTGTTGATACTTATCATAACTAGTTAATGGTAACAATATATTATACCCTTAATTACTGTGTTGATACTTATCATAACTAGTTAATGGTAACAATATATTATACCCTTAATTACTGTGTTGATACTCATCATAACTAGTTAATGGTAACAATATATTATACCCTTAATTACTGTGTTGATACTCATCATAACTAGTTAATGGTAACAGTATATTATACCCTTAATTACTGTGTTGATACTTATCATAACTAGTTAGTGGTAACAATATATTATACCCTTAATTACTGTGTTCATACTTATCATAACTAGTTAGTGGTAACAATATATTATACCCTTAATTACTGTGTTCATACTTATCATAACTAGTTAATGGTAACAATATATTATACCCTTAATTACCGTGTTGATACTCATCATAACTAGTTAATGGTAACAGTATATTATACCCTTAATTACTGTGTTGATACTTATCATAACTAGTTAGTGGTAACAGTACATTATACCCTTAATTACTGTGTTGATATTTATCATAACTAGTTAGTGGTAACAGTATATTATACAGTAAATTACAGTTACAGAAATGTGTTGTGGAATTAAATCTATGAAGAATAGCGACAACTTACATTAAGTTAAGAGTTTGGAATACTTTATATTGCTAGTACTGTACAAGGTTTAAAAACTTTAAAGAAACTCCGTTATATAAGGCAGGCTGGAAACTTATTTTAAACAGTTTTTTGATACACACCATAAATATCACTAAAGGGTAAGCAGTGTGGATATATTTGTATTAATCCAAGAGGTCAAAAAATAAAATAGCTGTAAACATTTAAGAATCTGAAACTGTGTAGTTCTTGATATTCTTTGATGAAAATGCACTTTAGGGATTTGATGGAGATGTTGACCTGGATGACAGTTTTTCAAGGTAAGTGTAGTTTGAATAAATTTTAGACAAAAATAAATTTGATGCATTAATTGTTAAAAATGTTAAAAAAAATGCTGAATTCTATAAGTTCACTAGTGACTAGTACATTCAAACATTGAGTTATATATGGTTACTAGACAATAATAAAAACACTGATTTCTGTAAAGTCATTAGTGACATAGAAACATTGAATTATCTATGGTCACTTCACAATAATAAAAACACTGACTTCTGTAAAGTCACTAGTGACTGGTACATAGTCATTGAATTATTTAAGGTCACTTAACAGTAATAAAAACACTGACTTCTGTAAAGTCACTAGTGACTAGTACATAGAGACATTGAATTATTTAAGGTCACTTGACAATAATAAAAACACTGACTTCTGTAAAGTCATTAGTGACATAGAAACATTGAATTATCTATGGTCACTTGACAATAATAAAAACACTGACTTCTGTAAAGTCATTAGTGACATAGAAACATTGAATTATCTATGGTCACTTGACAATAATAAAAACACAGACTTCTGTAAAGTCACTAGTGACTGATACATAGAGTAATTGAATTAGTTAAGGTCACTTAACAGTAATAAAACACTGACTTCTGTAAAGTCCATTAAAGTTCTGAAACCTACTATAAGCACTTAATGGAACAAGATTCACACTATTTATGGTTATAATATATTTACTGTGAAATGATTAAACTTGAATGTTGTTTTTTGATTAAATAGTGTTGTATCAAGAAATATATTTTTTAATATTTATAATGGGGTAAGATCTAGTATGTTTAAGACAATGTGGGAGCTTTGCTTTAAATTTCTTAATGTTAATTTTAGAGTAGAAATATTTCTTATGCCTGTGTGTTACTATCTTGTGTGCAACAAAACTTATTTTAACCTTTTTTTTTATTGTTTTTACTGCAATTTTCAAAACTTCAGGGGCATCAAACACTACCAATTTGGTAGGTTTTAATACATTGGAAAATATATTTCATTGTTTGAAAAAATTATAATGATAGCCATTTTACCATAAAAATTGAAATAAATTTAAGACTTTTAACAAGTAATCAGATTTAAATAGATTTAAGTTTTAGCCATATGCAGAGAGTTAATTAAACTATACAGGAGCTAATGCAGTGGCATGGTGTCACTGTGGAAGGTAGCTGTGTGAGTTACACTTTACAGGCACAATCCATAGATGTTAATGCAGTAGTGAGTTGCCATGTGGGGGAACTATGTGAGGGAGGATAGTTATTATTGGTTATTCATTGCAAACTTTTCAGCACAAATTTACAAAATTTTATTAAATTATCCTAATTAAAGAGCATTTAGCATCACATGATTTAGCTTAAGCAATTAAAATAAATAATAATGCTTGATACAGCTGTACCAATTGCATGGGGGTGATGACAAGAAACTGTTAATCTAAATTCCATGGCATTACCATGAAGAAAGTTATTAACACTGTTTTAGAGAGGAAAACTACTACCATATATTTTAAAAAATCTGGTTGGTTCTGTAAATTAAAGGTCTGTTCTGAATAATAGGGTTGCGATCCCAAAGCTAATGTCGGTTACTATCGAGTGTCACTTTCTTACTTGCTGTGGTTTGTTGACAAAAGGTCATGATATCTGATGAAAAACATCTTTGTTGTGAAAAAAAAAGAATTGAGTGTGCAACTTAAAGAAATGAAATCAAAATTGGTGACCAAACTGGTAGCTACACTTATAGCATTGATAAGAATTTTACAACAAATATTCATTCATTAGTTAGCTAGGCTGCATTTTTTTTTATCTTTTGGTCACCAATTTTGATTTCATTCCTTT